AAATCAAATACAATGTTATCAAATAAAAATCCCAATTTATAAAAATCCCCATATATATTAAATTAAATTACATTTTAAAAAGAAACATCCAAGTGCCTAACCCCCACGTATAGTCCTGTCCTCCTCCGCCACATAACCTTGTCCTTTTAAATATTGCTGATCTTGATGTTATTTTCTTGATGTTATGCCACAAAGGTCTTAATAGTGAGCATAGGGGATGTCAGGGACAATAAAATCCAAGGTGTAAGTGACTCAGTCACTGGCCTTTCCCCCCCTTGGAGAAGAAATAGAGCATTTCTGCAGCTAGTCCAAAGGGAGCAAACTGAACAGACCAGTCTTAGAAGAAATCCTGCCATTTGAAGATCCAACATGGCGACCAGCCAGCGGAAATCCACAATAGGCAGTCTCTCTCCCTCATGACCACCCAAAGTCTTCCCCCGCAGCCTTGCTTCCAAAGCCAGAGATGAACCACATGGACTCGCCAGCAAACCAAAACTCCTCGGGCTTCTAAGGTCTTACAAACACCACAGCCAGCCACAAAGAGTCCAGCACCCTTGGCTCCAGGCTCTAGTTTCAAGCGTACCGCCAGGACTAGCTCCTCGGGGAGGGGGGCACCAAACCTCCAGCCTCTGGATCCTTTCCCCTCCGCTGACCACCTCCAGAACCCAGCTGGGTGCTGGACCCATTCCCCCTCCAATGTTTTAGCATTCACCAATCTCCTCCAGTGGTCAGGCAAGGCTTCCGAGCTCCATCAACAAGCCAGCGGCAGCTCCGCGTTCTGAGCCAGCGGTGGCTCCGCGTTCTGAGCTTCTGCACCAGCAATCCCACACCTTGTCCAACAACCAGACTACCAGGTAAACGGGTAGAGGAAGACAGATCAGAGGGGAAAAGAAAAAAGAAAAGAAAAAAGGAAAGAATGAAAAACAGTAGGTGAAAAAACAGTGGGTGAAAAAACAAGAGGCAAGCCGGTGCGACAGAGAAAGACGCTAGCTGCCTGCCACTGGCGCCAGTCGGAAGAACGTTATTTGCGGGGACTTAAGGAGCTGCAGGACAGATGTTGCAAGTGCATTGACTTCCTGGGGGAATATGTAGAATAGTGTGGCAGTTACAGCTTCCTAGCTCAATTTTTTTCTGGGAAAGGCTCAGTACTTATCAGCACCCCCTCGTAAAATAGGTTTTGTTCTTTTTTTCATAATTGCTGTTTCAGCCCAGATTCTGTACAGGTTTGGTATATGGTAATATGCAGTAAATTACCTGACACGTTCCGGTAAATTGTAAATCTGGGTGACTGTTGATGCAGGGTTGATTATATTCTGGCCGACAATAATGCCTTCAGGTGTCTGGAGGGGAAAGCGAAGTATTTTAAAGTGTCTGAATGCTTGAAAAATGCCTGCACATATTATTAGTACTTCACATCGTAAGAGTTCTTGTGAAATACAAGATTTAGCCTGACTCCACAATGGTTGTCTGACATCAGGATGTGGAGAAACTAAGTAATATAAGAGATAGAGCACTGAATGTTGACGAGTGATACCTGGATCCAGATCCCAATACAGCCACAAAACACACTGGGTGGCCCTGGATTAAGCAATAACTCTGAAGTGCTCTGAGGATAGGTGTGGACATATTGACTTCTGGAATATCATGAACACAGTGTATAAGAAAGATATGAATATGACCAAAGCAACCTTTCAGAGGACTGCATCTTTCCTGCTCTTACATTACTTTCTCCCAGCAATGTAAACTGCTTTGTAATGCATGACTCCATAATTAGGCATGAAACGAAGCCACTGTTTACATTTCCAAAATAATCCCAGCAAAACGTACACTTAGAGCATGTATTCACATTTGCTCCTTTTTGCCACTTGAGGGAGCATTTCTTCCAGGATGGGATTTCTCTAACTGTGTGCTTGGGCCATTATTGAAATACTGTTAATCCTGGGTTTTTGGTGGAATTTCTATACCATTTCTATGAAAGCCTTGGCACAATTTAAGGCCCAAAACCTTTGGCTTGAAATTGAAGATTCAGGAAAAATACATACACAAGTTATTTCCTCCCCCCACAAAAGCTATTAAGAGTTATATGAAGCTTTCTCACTCATCATCACATAACCACCAAACCCTGTAATGAAGAGCCAACAGTCTCTGAATATACACACAATTACACCCACGGAACACACTCAAACACACAATGCAAAGGCACAGTCCAAAGACCACACTGTTTTTCCCCTTTCCTTTTAATTGAACACACAATACTTACCACAAACTCAACAATCACATTTCTGTCCAAACGTTCCATATTGTGATTCATAGAAAAGACACGGAAGCGCACTGAGAAAGAAAGAGGTTATTAATAAAAATGACAAAAATTAAGGAAAAATGGTGACACCACAGAGATGACTTGACAACACAAAAAAATGAATCTTCTACTCTCCATGCCTAATTGATGTCTCACTGAGTCTCAAAAAGGCAAGAACTGGAACTTTTATCAGGCAAGGTCAAACTTTCATGTGTAGACTTTTCCCCCAAAACAGCAGCAATATCCCTTGATCCAGAGAAAAGATCCAGGGGCACTTTCAACAACATCTTTCCTTCCTCTCCAGATCACCTTCACCTGATTTATCTGATTCAGTGGAAGAACTCTGTTTGATCCCTGCTTTGCCTTTTGAGGATGCGACTGTACAGTGGGGAAAATGCAAACAGATCTGCTGCGAAGCCACATCTGGGAAGTTTGGTTTCCTCAGAAGTCAGTGAAGAGATGTTAACCATTGTTAACCATTTTAAACTGCGGCTCCCCACACCTGCTGACTGGATCTGCTTGTTTCCCTCTTCCTGTTGCCTTTCTCTTTTTTAAAAGGCTTTCTGTCTTAGCACTAAGAAAGAAAGAAAGAAAATGGAAAGGGAGCCAGGTACCAAGTTCAGAGAGGAAAAGATTTAAGGCAAACAGTTTCCTTGATGCCCTGTCTCTCTCACTGCTGCTGTCGGCAGCTGGAATACAACAGATAACAAACTCCTCTGATATCAGCTCAAGCAATCATACTTCTTGAACCAAATGTATTCAATTCTAAAAAGTTAGAAACCCCAGTGGCGGAGGAAAAAAACTACGGATTGGGGTGGGATGGGAAAAATTCATGGCTTAATCACATTGACTTTTACATTGCTTAGTCAATGGAAGATGCTGCAAATAAAACCATCCCAATCCCAGAGCATTTCTCGTATTATTTGTCAATGTAACTATACCTGGACTCTCTTTTTAGACTACTCTTGCCTCGTTTCTCTATTCACTGGATGTGCCCTGCCTATACTGCCCTCAAAACTCTTAAAGAACCAACCACTGGGACTAGAGCCCTTGGAAACACAAAAGGGTAGACAAAGAATTCAACTCCCCCAACAAAATAACCCACAAACCACCTTCCTTGAATTTTATAAGTACCTTGATTTTACTCACTGGCCACAGCATCCTCTTGGACTTAATTTTTCCCTTCCTAATCTGTGATAAAAAAGTCCAGCAGTACATCAGTTATTTCATTTATCAATGGGCATTAATTTGTGGGGGTTTTTAATTTAAAAGTAATTTTAGCTAGTAACAGGGTTTATTGCATTTTATTGTATTTTACTATTATTACATAATATTTTTATGGTTTTACTCTATATTGTGAACAACTGAGAGAGTGGCAACATTAATGGGGCAGTATAGAAATGAAAATGAATGAATAATTGCTAAGCGTACTAGAGAGATTTGACCCTCTTGACCCTCTATTTCAGGGATCAGGGAACTTTTTTACCTTTTACCCCCCAAAAAAATTATATACGCCGACATTACCCCCTTGATTCGAAAGGAAATTATACATTATTTGAATTAAAAATATTATTGAATCTACGCAGGCTGTGTACCGAACTAGCAGGGTGCACCAAATTTGATAAAGATGTGCACCTTTTTTGCTGGAACACATTGCACTCCAGCCATGGTGTGGTATAGGGAATAGTAAGGTGTCCAACGTGCCTAGCAAGTTGCATTAAATTTTTGCTAGCTCGCAGAGGATTTAATCATCATCAGTGGCTGCCAGAGTGGTGCAAGCAATGACATGCTTGCTAGAGACAGCCAACGCAGAGTTGTGGGGGGCTTTCCCTACCACTTTAATCATTCTATGTGTGGTTTGCAAAAAGGAACAAACCAGGCTAAAGATCATGTCACCCACCCTGGTGCCACAGCCCAATATCAAATGACCACTGTTTTTTTTATTATCATCAATGGAAAACTCAGCAGTGGCCAGAGGATTGGAAAAGATCAGTCTACATCCCAATCCCGAAGAAGGGAAGTGCCAAAGAATCCTTCAAGTACTATACAATTGCACTCATTTCACATGCTAGCAAGGTTATGCTCAAAATCCTACAAGGCAGGCTTCAGCAGTATGTGGACCAAGAAATCCCACAAGTACAAGCTGGATTTCGAAGGGGCAGAGGAACTAGAGACTGAATTGCTAACATGCACTGGATTATGGAAAAAGCCAGAGAGTTCCAGAAAAACATCTACTTCTGCTTCACTGACTACGCAAAAGCATGGCAGAAAGTGAGGAGGACTTAAAGAACCTCTTAATGAGGGTGAAAGAGGAGACTGCAAAAAATGGTCTGAAGCTCAACATTGTTTGCAGTCATTTCTGGAGGAAGCAGTAATTCAGAAGCCCCGGATTGATTGATTGCCCGGGGCTAATCCCCAGCTGTAACCAGTTAGTGAGGCTTATCTCCGATCTCTAAAAAAAGGGAGGATTTACGAGTGCCCTGCTCCAACGAAGGAAGTAGCAGGGGAGAGGTGGCTTACAATTTGATGTTTGGCTCCAGAGGGTGGGGGTGGGAGGGAGGGAGGGGTAGCAGTCTGCTCATTACCCCCAGGATTTTCACTTTTACCCAATTTGGGGTAATTTATCTCTGTTCCCCGACCTATGCTCTATTTGGACTTTCTTTTAAGCCGACCTATGCTCTATTTGGACTTTCTTTTAAGCCGACCTATGCTCTATTTGGACTTTCTTTTAAGCCGACCTATGCTCTATTTGGACTTTCTTTTAAGCCGACCTATGCTCTATTTGGACTTTCTTTTAAGCCGACCTATGCTCTATTTGGACTTTCTTTTAAGCCGACCTATGCTCTATTTGGACTTTCTTTTAAGCCGACCTATGCTCTATTTGGACTTTCTTTTAAGCCGACCTATGCTCTATTTGGACTTTCTTTTAAGCCGACCTATGCTCTATTTGGACTTTCTTTTAAGCCGACCTATGCTCTATTTGGACTTTCTTTTAAGCCGACCTATGCTCTATTTGGACTTTCTTTTAAGCCGACCTATGCTCTATTTGGACTTTCTTTTAAGCCGACCTATGCTCTATTTGGACTTTCTTTTAAGCCGACCTATGCTCTATTTGGACTTTCTTTTAAGCAATCTATTTTTTTCTTCTTTTTGCTTCTGAAATTAACTCTTATGGTAACAACCTAAATTTTAGTTCTAGGACTTGATGGCATTATTTCCCAATGTCACTGATGCCAATGCCAACCAGTGAATCTTTTCTCACATTGTCTCTTAGTCTCTCTGTCCAATGATCAGTGTCTATCCAAGTAATCATTTTGCATCAGGCCGACACATTATCATGTAGTCAACAAACTTGTTAGAAAACCTTCTCACTTTCTATTCTTACCAAATTTCTTGCTATTAAGAGCCCCCGTATGTATACTGACACACAGGCATATCGTTTGCCTGATGGGATATATTTTCCCTATGCAAGAGTTCCTTCTAAATATCCTTTTTCCTTTTCCTCTCAATGAAACCCTTCTACCCAAGGAACCTTCCTCTCTTCGTTGATTTATACTTAATGGCATTTCTGAGGCCATCAGTGTACAGTGAAAAAGTGACCTCATAGCTGTTCATGAAGGAAACTGCCCTGAACTTGGATAGAGGCAGAAAAGAGAAAGGCTGGTTTACCTCTTAGACTCTATACTGGAACATCCTTTGAAACCAACTTCAGCTGTCTATGAATTTTTTTGGGGGTAATCTATTTCCAACTGCAAAGTCAGGCACTTGACATCAGTAAAGATCAATCAGAGAAATCAACACAGTTCTTATAGAGGTTACCCATTCCCAGGGCTTGAAAAAATTTAGAATGTCTCACCAGTAAGTCAAAAATTTCACCAGTCAGCATTACTGGACTATAGCCTTGCAATTTACGTTTACACTTAAATTTAAATTTAAACTAGGCACTTTCTACATAATGCATGCAAACCCAAAATAAATATACAGTGGTGCCCTGCATAGCGAGCGCCCCGTTTATCAATGAATCCGCATAGCGATGTGGATTTTGCAATCGCAAAAGCGATCGCATCGCGATGGTTTTAATGGCTAAATATCGCATTGCGATGATCGGTAAGCGTTTCGATTACTGATTATCGCATTGCGATGTTTAGAAAACAGCTGATCGGTGGTTCCAAAATGGCCGCCGGAAAAAAATGGCCGCCCGCAGCATTTTCGCGCCCTTTCTTCACTTACCGGGCAGTGAAAATGCCGGCCGGATGGAGGATTTCCGCATAGCTGTGAGTTTTTTCCCCATAGGAATTCATTAAACGGGTTTTAATGCATTCCTATGGGGTTTTTCGTTCTGTATAATGACGATTCCGGATAGCGATGATTTTCCTGGAATGGATTATTGTCGCTATGGGGGGCACCACTGTACTCTCAGACTTGGGTTGCTTTATTACCTGTGTGGGGTCATGAAGCTTGTATATTGAATACCTTTCCTTTGAATGTCTCTAGCAAAAATAAAACTGAAGCAAAAGCACCCAGCCTCTTAAGGAGCAAGATTGTTTGGTTGAAATTGGGAGCAGGGAATCTCCATATTCTCCAGCATGGGATTACTCTACATTCTCCTGCAGAGCTATATATCTATGTGCCACTGGAACTCTATTCTCGCGAGAAAAGGGCTGTTTTTCCTTTTGCAATGGGAAGGGGAGATAAGGACTGCAGGATGAGAGAGAGAGAGAGAGAATGAGGATGAGGCAAGGAAAGAGAGAGGAAGGGACAAAGGGAGCTGTGCCTTGTCAAGCAGCCTTTTTTTCACTTGTCACAGATGAGTGGATGAGTGGATTTTTCAAGCCCTACCTATTCCCATGTATGCCTACAGGTGGAATCAACAGGAGGCTCTTACCTGGTGATCCAGGAGTATAGATAGTTTTATCTGTCTGGGTGAAGATATATCCACTCTGGTAGGAGACGAGAACCACCTTCTCCAGATTGAATTGAGCACAGCTGGCCTGGACAACAACGTATGTGTTTTTCTTGGGATCCTTCTTGAGGTCTTTTGCTGGAACCTGTGTGAAAAGATCAGGAATAAGAAAAATAATTTATCCTGGACACTACTAGCATAGCTAATAATGCCACAGAAATTGTATATTGGTATTTGCTCAGAGTGATTGTTTGAGAAGTTCTTGGTGTTGTAGCCATGTTAGTCTGTGCAAGCATTTCAACAAGAAATGCGAAACAAAACCAGGGGTCTCTAAACTTTTCAGAATAAGGGCCACGTGATATATTTCACAGATTTTCGAGGGCCAAAGGAGGGAAGGGGGACACAAGCGATTCCTCACCCCTGCTGTCTTTGCAAAGATAGCAGGGGTGGGGGATCATGTAGATCAGGCTTTGCCTCTCTTCCTATCCCTGATCGGGCATAGGAAGTTCTCTTCCTATCCCTGATCGGGCAAAGGAAGAGGAGGGAAAGGAGATCCAAGCAATCCCCACTGTCTTTGCAAAGACAGCAGGGGTGGGGATAACATAGATCAGGCTTTGCCCCTCTTCCTATCCCTGATCGGGCATAGGAAGAGGAGGGAAAGGGAACCCAAGTGATCCCCCATCACTTGGGTTCCCTTTCCCTTCTCTTCCTATGCCGGGACCAGATAAAAATGTAAGATGGGCTGGAAGTAGCCCACAGGCCATAGTTTGGAGATCACTGTTTTAATATAAGCTTTTGTGGAAAATTGGCGACTTCTTCAGATTTATGAGCAGAATACAGAGACAATGTGGCAAAAGGTTGTTGTGGGTTTTTCGGGCTCTTTGACCGTGTTCTGAAGATTGCTCTTCCTAACGTTTCGCCAGTCTCTGTGGACGGCATCTTCAGAGGACAAGAGGACAGAGTGCTGTCCTCTGAAGATACCACAGAGACTGGCAAAACATTAGGAAGAACAATCTTCAGAACATGGGCAAAGAGCCCAAAAACCCACAACAACCATTAGATCCTGGCCATGAAAGCCTTCGCGAATACAATATGGCAAAACCTTCACATATTAAAGCAGTGGTCAGGGAACAGGGGTAAATTACCCCACATGGGATAAAAATGAAAATCCTGGGGGTAACGAGGACGCAACCTTAACCCCATTCCCTCCTCCTCCTTTTCCTCTTCTGCCCGGAGGGGGGGTCCGTGGCTGCCCGATCGCCCCTTTCCCGCCCCCTTCTCTGGCCCGGCTGCAACTGAGCTATGGCGGATGGCAGCCGGTGACGGGTCCCAGCCAGTGGCATAGGGCAGCCGAGGTGGCGGCAGTGGGGCTGGCCATGGTGAAGGGTGAGGCTGCAGCGAGCAACTGGAGTGCCCTGGCCAGGAGGAGCCTCTCCTTCCAGTGCCCGGAGAGGTGGATTACGGCGGAAGAGGTGGGTGCAGCCAAGACAGTGGCCCAGACCAGGCTCAGCCTCCCAGAGGAGCCCGTCGGGCGGCAGCAGCACTTGCCCAGATGCGTGGCTTCCTTCAGCACCACCTCCATGCCAGCCGGCAGGGACTGGCAGAGCCTCTCACCCTCTGTGTGGCAGCTGTCATGGCACTTCAACGACAAGGCCCGCGGGAGCCCTGATGCCGAGGCCTGACACAGCCGCCCTGGCGAGCAGCTGCTGGACCCAGTGCTGGAGCGAAAGGCAGCATTGGGTGCCACTGATGGGCGAGCCACCTGCTGCTCTTCAACGGCCACCCAGGAGCCGCCCGCTGGTGGAGAAGGGGAGCTGCCCTCATGGGGCCAAGGACTGAGCGCGGCCCCACCAAGTGGAGGAGAAGGAAGCCGCTGCCACCCAGGCACAGGTGGCAAGGCTTTGTCGGCAGTACTCGACTGGCCGCACGTGACAAAGATCCTTCTTTTCAAATCAAGGGGGTAATGTCAGCGTACAGTGGTGCCTCGCAAGACAATGTTAATTCGTCCTGCAAAAAACGTGTTGTGAAAACATCATCTTGCGAAATGTGGTTCCCCAGAGGAATGCATTGAAATCTAATTACAGTCGTGCCCCGCTTTACGATTGCCCCGCATTATGACAAAACCGCATTACGACGAAGTTTTTGCGATCGCTTTTGCGATTGCAAAATGATGGTCTGAATAGGGGTTTTTCGCTTTGCGATGATCAGTTCCCTGCTTTGGGAACTGATTCTTTGCAAAGTGATGATTTTAGAACAGCTGATCGGTGGTTTCAAAATGGCCACCGGGTAAATAAAATGGCTCCCCACTGTTTTCTGGGACAGATTCCTCTCTGCACAGGTACTGAAAATGGGCGCCCGATGGAGGATATTAGCTGAACTGTGAGTTTCTAGCCCATTGGAACGCATTGAAGGGGTTTCAATGTGTTTCAATGAGCTTTTTATTTTCACATTACGACGTTTTAGTTCTACAGAGATTTCGCTGGAACGAATTAACGTCGTAATGCGAGGCACTACTGTAATGCATTCCTATGGGCAAAAAAGCGGGAACAAAGTCAAATAAAAAAACTTTATAAATATCACAGAAAAACATTCATCTTAAAAAATGTCCGTTAAAAAATCGTCTTGCGAGTCACGGACCCAACTGTCAAAAACATTTGTCTTACGAAAAAGCATTTCCAAAAATAATAATAATAATATTGCAAGTCATGGACCCAAACATCGTCTTGGGAAAATCATCCATAGGAAAAACCGTCTTGCGAAGCGCAACAGCGACCGCAAAAACCAATCATCTTCCGGATTAATCGTCCCATGAGGCAATCGTCTTGCGAGGCACCACTGTATATAATTTGGGGGGGGGGTAAAAGGTAAAATGTTCCCTGACCCCTGTATTACAGCACTTGACTTTCAGACCACCCCCTTCTTCCCATGATGGAGGGCACAGTGGACAAGGCAGGAGAGTGCGAAGGTGCTGGGTAGCTTGCAGATCTCTCGTGTGCTCTGACAATAGGGTTGGGGAAAGAAGCATGCATTTTGTGGGGAGCTTGCCAGAAAAATAATCCTGTAACTCTCCTTTTTACACCCTGGCCTGGTGGTAGGGAGCCCCGTGAAGCACCCAACAAGGATTTGGTCTCCAAACGTTGAGGTGAAACAGTGTCATTCTGCCCACTATGTCTGTCACACAATCTTTGCCTTCCTTCAGTTATCTGGGACCAAACCTTGGAAATGCTACCTTTGGATGGAATACAATGCCCAGAATCCTTGGTTATCTGGGGATTTGGGAGTTATACTCTAAAGTAGTAACATTCCCAACCTCTGTATAAGGCTACCAAGGTTGAGTATCTAACAAGTCTTTTTTCATAGAATCATAGAAAAGAGAAGTTGGAAGGGGCCTACAAAGCCATGAAGTCCAACCCTCTACTCAATGCAGGAATACAATCAAAACATCACATCTGCCAGGTGATTATCTATGTTTTTCTCAAATGCCTCCAGTGTTGGAGCACTCCCCGACTCTTGAGGTAACTGGTTCCACTGTTGTACTGCTCTAACAGTTAGGAAGTTTTTCCTGATATTCAACCGAAATATGGCTTCCTTTAACTTGATCCCATTGTTGCATGTCCTGCACTCTGGGATGATTTTCCCCCCATTCTGTTTAACAGGAAAGTTGGTTTTTTTTGAGAACTTTGGTGGAATTTTTACTGTATCATCACTTAATGTTACAAAGTTGATCTAGGGGCACACTTCAAAATTGCTAGCCACAGTTCTGAGGACAGCACCATTTATAACCATACCAAACACACACACACCTTTATGGATGGAGTTGCCATCATGCCATTTTCTGGCATCAGGAAAGTTCTCATCTGATAAAAGTTGTTCCTTCTCTGTGGGAAATCATAGACAGTGACTGTGACCTTTGTCGCAACATTGAGTCCATGAGCCTCCACCACAATCTGCTCTTCACTCTCTACCCACAAGACACTGGGTGTAATGAGCGAATAGCTATAAAAAGAAAGAATTGATGTGTTAAAGTTTGTGCTTAAGTCTGATGTCAGGTTACATTTCCATGCTACACCTCCTGATTCTCTTGTTTTAAAAAAGCGAAGAAACAAACGTTTTAATTAAGCGTTAAAATTATAAATACTGTACAGACAGAACCATTCTTGTTCCATGGGCCTTTCCTTAGAGTGCCTGAATACTCTGATGCTTTTCTTCTGTCACACTGACTTTCTCTAGGGCCGGAAACACTTAGCATTGTTTCAGAAGAGGTGCTCTCCCAAGTGGTGAACAACATCTCTTTGCCATAGCATGCGGTTTTCTTCACCCCATGTCTTGTGTTTAGCATGTTTTGTTTTGTGATTAGCCATTGGAAGGTAAACATGTGTTTAACTTACAAGTCTGATCACAGAGGCTCCTATTTTTGAAGAAATCTCAGTGAGAGCAGATCAGGAAGAATATACGTTCCCCCTGACATCTAATCTGATAACAGGATCCCTGTTCCAAGCAGCTCTCCTATCTTTAGCCACTCCCCAACAGCTCATCTTCCTACAAGGCTTTCCGGTTTGAAGACTACCTTATTACTTAAAATGGAGTCTAGAATTTCTTGTGACATTGTGGATGAAGTTTATTTTGAAATGTATTCTCGAAGGCTTTCACGGCCAGGATCCGGTCGTTGTTGTAGGTTTTTGAGGATGTTTGGCTGTGTTCTGGAGGTTTTTCTTCCTAACGTTTTGCCAGTCTCTGTAGCCGGCATCTTCGAAGGAGAAGAGCTAGAACTCTGTCTGTGTTCTGGTGTAGTATGTGAGATTGTTGAGTGTTTGTAGCTGTAAGGTCAAGTTTTTGTTCTTTTCAGGAGACCTCCTGAACACAGACAGAGCTCTAGGTCCTGTCCTCTGAAGATGCCGGCCACAGAGACTGGCAAAACATTAGGAAGAAATACCTCCAGAACACGGCCAAACAGCTTGAAAAACCTACAACAACCATTTATTTTGAACTACTAAGAACAATAGCACATTGTAGGATTCAATAAATAAATAAATAATAGGACAGTTGTGTTCTAACTGTATTCATCCATTATAAAAGCAAATGGATGGGATGCTTGGACATTAAAGACTACCAAAGGTGGCTGAGATGCAAATCTTCCTACACAGACCTACACTTTGGCACTTCCAACATCACACTGAAAATATGTGTAAGCCTGAATTCTACAGATTCTATTCTTGGTTATTGTTAACAGAAGCCTGAAGCCATTTTGATGACCCCACACAATCCAGACAGAATTGTTCAAGAGAGAGTTTCACCTTGCTGGAATAAAAATGGCACAAAAAAGTTAATAGCAATAAGTGAAATTCAAGCCCACAAGGAAATGAAGAATTTCTAAATGTCTGACAAGTTTCCTCATCAAACTAGCTTAACTGGTGTCTTATGCATCTTGAGTTGGTATGGCTACTGTTTGCTGTTCTGCCTATGTTAGCAAACTATCAGAAGGGTTAGCTTTGCTTACATGACTGTGATGAGCTACACTGGAACAATGTAGATCACTGGTTCTTAACCTTGGGTTACTCAGGAGTTTTGGACTGCAACTCCCAGCAGCCTTCACCACCAGCTGTCCTGACTGGGGTTTCTGGGAGCTGCAGTTCAAAAGCATCCGAGTAACAAAGGTTAAGAACCACTGATGTAGATGATGGGCTTTGAACAATTCCAAGAAATAATTGGTACTGAGTTTTTTTTAAAAAAGCTTTCATTTGTTTTAGTTGCTGTCTACAGTTTGTCATGTATAGTTGCTTTTCTTTTCCTTGGGAGTTGGGAGATCATTTGCCCTAGGAGGTGGCTTTAAAATAAATTAAAAAATGCTATAGAAAAACAAAACATTATTATTACCTGTCTGTGAGAATTGTGCCCCTGTATTGTGCAGTATTGGTTCTACACTATCACATTTTTGGGTGGGATAGGGGATAATTTATTTCTTTGAATGACTAAAGATATGTCTGTGAAGATTCTCAGTCATCCCAGTGAGGTTATCTGGAAGCTGAGTCATGGCAATTAGACTTCTTGCTTATTAGGTTGAAATGTTTTACTATTCATCTGTGAGAGGAAAACTGAGCAAGAGACAGAGAGTGTGCCATCCCCTCAACTGTCTGGAGAGAATCAAGTGGAAAGAGAGGAAAGAAAAGAATCAAAGAAAGCTAAAAATGGAGAAGAGGTAAAAGAGGAAAGGGAAATAGGAAAAGGAAAAGAGGTAGAAGTAAGCACGAGAGAAGAAGAATCAAAATCAGGTGTGCGTGAGGGAGAAGAGGGGAAAAGAGTGAGGAGCATGAGACAAGGGAGATGTTTCGTTTAGTCATTTAGTCGTGTCCGACTCTTCGTGACCCCATGGACCAGAGCACGCCAGGCCCTCCTGTCTTCTACTGCCTCCCGGAGTTGTGTCAGGTTCATGTTGGTTGCTTCGCAGACACTGTCCAGCCATCTCATCCTCGGTCGTCCCCTTCTCCTCTTGCCTTCACACTTTCCCAACATTAAGGTCCTTTCCAGGGAGTCCTCTCTTCTCATGAAATGGCCAAAGTACTGGAACCTCAGCTTCAGGATCTGTCCTTCCAGTGAGCACTCAGGGTTGATTTCCTTTAGAATCGATAGGTTTGTTCTCCCTGCAGTCCAGGGGACTTTCAAGAGCCTCCTCCAGCACCACAATTCAAAGGCATCAATGCTTCGGTGGTCAGCTTTCTTTATGGTCCAGCTCTCACTTCCATACACCACTACAGGAAAAACCATAGCTTTGACTATTCGGACTTTTGTTGGCAAGGTGATATCTCTGCTTTTTAAGATGCTGTCAAGGTTTGTCATCGCTTTCCTCCCAAGAAGCAGGCGTCTTTTAATTTCGTGGCTGCTGTCTCCATCTGCAGTGATTATGGAGCCCAAGAAAGTAAAATCTGTCACTGCCTCCATATCTTCCCCTTCTATTTGCCAGGACGTGATGGGGCCAGTGGCCATGATCTTAGTTTTTTTGATGTTGAGTTTAAGACCATTTTTTGCACTCTCCTCTTTCACCCTCGTTACAAGGTTC